GGATGAATATCGATTTTTTTCTAGGAAAGAAAATATTGATATATATCGCGATATCGATATTATCCTACAGCCCTACCGTTCACACATTGTCTTTAAGCAGAGATGGTGAGAGTGTGAAGGTGTTTGTTTGATCATGTTGTCCAAATCATAATGGGAGTAAAGAATCAGTCTTGTGCTTTTTGAAAGCGGTTTTGATGAAAAATGCTTCACAAGATGCTTTCACGCAAAATTTCTGAAAAGTAAATAAAATAAAAATAGAAACTGTAAAACAAACGTGTGAATGAAACTTGAAACTTTCACCATATTTAGAAAAAGGAAAACCGACAAGATCAACAAGATGAGCCGAAATACACGATAAGCACATGAAGTTTGTCACCACAACAGCTCTTTACTCAACTTAAAATTTTAAATACTGACATGTGAATCAAGTCATGTTAATGTCTGTGAACTGAATTTGCTGTTTTTAGTGTGAACTTTATGCAAAATTATTTTTGTTACACACAAAGGAATGATAGGAGGCTAAATAAACACTGTTGGTTGTTTGTAGATGACTTAAAACAAACCTAAAAGACATCATCGGTTTTGACATGTGAACCATATGTTCACTTGCTCTTCATAAAACTTATCTACTAACACATACCTTTGTATTTCTATTTCTTCTGCAATTTACGCTGGCATCTTCCAGTGTTACAAGTGCAGCTTTCCTACTTCGTCAGGGAGCGGTGGAGTGGCAGTTTGGATAAGGCAATTCTGGAACGCAAAATAAAAGCCCTTCTTAGCATAAAATATTTCCACAAATATCAGCAAAAATACTGCTGATGACAACTTTCTGAGCTCGCATGCATCAATAAACAGGGGCAGTGGTGCAAAGAAAAGTTGACCAAACTTCCTCCGTAATGATTTGAGTGATTGATAAAGTCACATAGCAAATAACTTGAAGTCATTGCTGCCAAAAAAGGTGATTTTTTTTTCCAGCTATTAAATATATGTATGAAATGCATCTGCATTATTACTATCATACATCTATATTAACAGATGCAGGCAAAATTGTTGGCAGTGAGATGGTAGAAACAGAAGGCTCATTTTATGTCTGGGAAACCTTTTTTACTTTCTGATCCTTTTCCTGCCTGGTGGCCAGAAGAAATGAGCATCTGTGTGAAACAAAAAACAAGAACAAAAAACAACAAATGCTCCAGTAACATTTATAGTTAAGGGTTTATTAGGAGTACTAATAATTGGACCAAATTGAGTTCAGTGATTCAAAATAAATACATTGAAATATTCGCTGCATTGTATGAGCAGGTGCTTAGGCATCCCTGATGGCAGTCATCGGAGATTCAAAGATTTATCAAAAACGAATGGAAAAGAAATCAAACACTTTGGGTACATGTTTGATAAGAGAATAACATTTTGGCATGACATAGAGCTCAAAAAAGTGCATTTTGTATAATATTCCTTTTTAACCTGTGTCTGCAGGTTTGGACTACCATCAATACAAAGATGTGTGTGTCCAAACGCACGCACGCACGCACACACATCTGTCAAGACCCTGAGAGTTTCACTTCACTCTTCTGGGTCACTGATGGGTCTTTCCCACAATGCACTCAAACTGTGTGTGTGTTTGTGTGTGTGTGTTGTGTTTTACAGTATCTTTAGTGTAAAGTATTTTCAAGGTAATCATTTCATTGATTATAGCAGCAATGGCTGCAGCTCAGTACATTCTGGTTAATTTACCATTTCATCTCGTCATTACCACTCCAGTCCTTGTACCAGTTCTGTTACTTTCCTTCAGATAATTTATCCTCTCCTCTGGGGAAACTTTAGGCATTCTGACTCATAATTGTAATTCTGGTGATAATTGTCAAAGAGTTTTGCAAATTACAGTTATTACAGCAAAAGTTTGCCTCACTAAACTTCATATTGTCATGTGCTAAACCTGTACTATTTCTAGATACTGATTGATTCATCAAACTGATTCACATCTGTTAGGCTGACATGTTTGTAAAATATTTTTTGTGATGCTATTCTTGTATTTGTACTAGTGTGTAAAGAGTGTGAGCAGTGACTTTCTCTAAAATGTTTTATTGTGTAAGATGTGCAGGGTACCTTACAGTTATTTAAAGCAATTTGGGACAAGGTCTTTATTTTATTGTTTATATGAATTTTATTTTAGCAGATACATCTCCTTCACCAAACCTTCATTTAGTCAGTGTGTTTATTCTCCAAAGTCATGTTTCCATTTCAACTTTGTCACCTTTTTTGTCTTCACGTTTGTTTTCCGTTTCTATTTAATGTGGAGTTCAGCTCTCTGAAGCATGTCAGACTGAAACACCACACTACGTTAAAGTGTCTAACTGAAAAGACGAAGAAAAAAAAAAACTTCAATCAGGCATTTCATATACAAGTCCAAAAATCCACAATTTTAGGGATGCAGCTCAAAAGTAAATTTTATTATAAAATACTAAATTAGTCTTGTTGGGTTACAGAACAGCCCATCTTTCCATGTCAGAACCATAGATGAGCTTGGTGCAGTTTTTACCCAGCTAATGAAATGAGAGGGACTGAAGACGTGAAACTTGATGTATACTTTTTGAATAAATATTTTTCACAGATTACACTTTCACAATTGCTAGTCACAGTTATATATTAACGGGTTACCAATTCCAAGGTATACTATTGTTCTGAAAAACTACAGCTTAATTACATGAAGTTTTCCGTAATAATTAAATATTACAATATAATTATAGTTGTTTTTTAGAATATTTCAGAATTCTTTAAAAATAAATCCTACAATAATATACGACATGCACACCTGTCTCTTTTTTATTAACATTGTACAAAAATTTCTAAATATAATTTCGGGACAATCAGTAAAGACGTTAAAATTCTGAACATTATCATGCAGCTGTAAGGAACAAAAGTGTGGTTTTATGGCACTAGACTGTGCTTGCAGACATGGTGTCATCAGGGGGTGCAGATGGCTGATGAAGCTCTTTCAGCGTAGAAGGGCAATTCTGCTGCATTTCTCCAGCAGCCTTGAGCTGTGACTGAGCAGGGAGCAGAGAGGCTCCAGCCGCTCCCCTCACATCGCCAAGTGCTCTCTGATCCTTCCTCCCCGGACACTGGAACCGTCCACTGGGTGACAGGTGATCTGCACTGTAAACTGCATCTGAGCCTAACAGATATGCCAGTTAACATGCCGCAGTCTCTGCACTACAAATCCTTATCATCACAAACAGACACAAAGGAACGAGAACATGTAAAATAAACTCATTTCAAAAATTATGATGAGCCTACACGAGGAGGAGTACTTTAAAAATGTTTTTTTGAATTTTAATTGTTTTTTTGTTTGTTTTTTCCAATTAAAAATCAGGAAGGTTGGCCATGATGCAATGCTCTGTCGAATATGTTTATCTGACTGGCGTAGTATTTTGTTTTATGATATAAATATGTTGTTTTTTTTAAATACACATTTTGAAATGTGCATTTCCTGATTTATATGCAGTTATTCTGGTTATTGAATACGTTTGTCCTCCTATACCATGTCAATTTGTGTTCATTAATTTAGAAAATCTAACTTTTAGAACAGTTTTTCCATCAACTCCAAACTCAACCCCAATGTGGCTGTCGCACATATAAAAACAAGGATACAATATAAATTATAACTTGTATTTTAACATTCTTGTAGCTGGTTTTATATTTAATTTTTGTCATTCTTGTATTTTTTTGCACAAAGAGGTAGGAATGAAATTCCAGAGTCAAAATATGCTGACAATGCAAATATTTCCCCATAAAAATCACTAAAAGTGAAAAAATCTTTCAACTTTCACCTTAGATTTCCTGACCTTCCACCAACATTGCAATGTAATATCCATGTTGTTGAAGTTCCAACTGTGCATTATCCATTTATGCACAATTCCTGGCATAAGGTGCATATATTCTACTGTCACAATATCAGTGATTTATTTTTTCTACTGATTAAATACAGAATTGGCTAAAACCTTTCTGGAACTTCTCCCTGAAAAACTCAGAACTTCCAGCATCCCCAAACAACAAGCCAATCTAAGATTGTGCTCAATTTGGAGGTGTGTGCGCTTCTCCCCAGCTGGAAGTCCTGTTCCACTGACAGTTATACTGATATCGACATGCAGGAGGCCTGAGCTTTGCGTTGTTTCTACTAATGTGGAGACAGAGGATTATTTATCAGAGCTGTTTGGGGGTATTTTTGGGGTAATGCCAAAGCTGCGGTGGGTCATGACCTGCCTAGAAAACATCTTGCCAGAGTGGGCATGATGAAGTTCTACCTGCTGCTAACAGAGTAATAAATCACCAAGACCTTCCTTTTTCTAGGGATGTTTTGTGTTTGATTACATATAAAGGGAAACCCACTGGTGTCACATATCTAAACAGAACCTCTCAAGAGCCTACAGGGACTTTAATGTCACAGTGTTCTCCTAATCCAGTTTAAAGGAGGCGTATGCCCCTTTTCCGACTTCTTTTGTTGACAAGCATCACTGTGCAAACCCAAATCTCATGTGATAATCAAGATGTCTGTTGTTCAATCACAAGACGTATATGTCAGTACAGATTGGATCTTGTTTAAGTTTACAGTGTGTTGGCTTATTTAGTCTACAGTGTTCCCACTGATATTTAGATGACTATGCTTGAATATTTTGCATGTCACTCCTGCTGATGTGTGAAGTTCACCCAAAGAAAGTGATGTTTTTTTGGAAATATCAAGACTGGTGAAGATGGATGTTCCTACAAAGGTCAAGCAAAGCACAAAGAATGAGAGTGGGACAAATGAGCTGAGTGAAAGACGAGGGAACATGAGAATGTGGTGGAAAAACAGAGGAAAATGGCAAAAACAAGACATAAAAACTAGAGTAAAAAAAGAGAAGAATGTAAAAGATACTTTAAGAAATATACAGACTAATGTCATGAGAAAACAAAAGTAAAAAAATATGTATTTGTTAAAGAAAAACTAAGGTTGCAAGGTACTTGGATTGGTTGCTAATTTCAATATGCATTCTTTTAGAGACAGATGTTTATTGTTTGTGACAACCGCAAGTCAGAAATCCTTTCAGGAATTGTCAAAAAATTAAATCTTTAGCCATATCTCGGTGTGGCCACTGGTCTAAAATGTAAACAAGAAATATGTGTCCCTTCTTACAACAACTCTCTAGAACGTACCCAGAGTACTAGAGGTCTTCTCAGTGACCAATAGCAGCATAACGCAGTGATTCTAGCTTTTCCACAGTGTGAATGTACAACAGTGAGATGCAGCTGAATAACTGTGCAAAGATCTCTGCTCTTGTTCACTTATAAACGCAAAAACCTTAGTCTATTGTGCGCTCACACAGATGCAGATAAATGTTAGTCTGCTGCTTGGTTTTTTCTCTTCCAGGCCCTTTTTGTCACAACTTTTATTCGGTTCTTCCAGAAATCCCTTCAAGTCCTTCCGGTTATCCTTCTTCCTCTGTCTCCTAGTTGGTTTGTGGGTTTTCTACGTGTCATTTCTTTTCGCACTCTTTTTCCAATCTGAATTTTTTTTTTCACACTTGTTGACAGTTCACTGGAGCGTGTCACTGGCACCAGAAACTCTCCAAAAATAAAAATGAATGCTTGTGCAAAGACACATTAGAGAGAGGTTGAATGCATGACTATCACTTTCACCTCCTTGTCATTGCCTCTGCCAAAGTGTGTGTGCATGGGAGCGTTGGTGGGGGTGCAATATCATCAGTAGTTTT